AAGCACGCCTCATTGGCTATTAAGGGCGAGGGTACTGCCATTCATCGCGCCGTCTCAACCGTAACCTGAGATTCTTACGTGGAGTTATTTAGAGGGACCGCTTTAGCTAAGACAACCTGCAAAGTTTTTCTGTATCTCTGTGACAGGCTGTTTGATATTTTCTGCTTAGTCTGTGTTTTATGTGAAAGTTTGGAAAGGTATATCGCCGATACTGACTGTTTACGCTTTGATGTCTCCAACTTTCGTCTACTCAGTCTGTGGTTTATTTGAAAGGTTGGATAGGAAGCACCCGGTTAAGGGGTCATATTCATTACTCTTTTAAAACTGTGTGCCGATAGCTGTTTCGAAGTGTACTCCAGACAACCATTCAAGCAGACAGACAGAAATATATCAAAAAAATTATGAGTACTGTAACTATAATTATCTCTTTCCCCAATTTTGACGTTTGTTTCAAAATCATAGATTGAATTTTTAGATTATATTTGCCACTGTAGTTTATGAAACTAAATCCGAACACACCAACCCCGCGAAACCTCAAGATATTGCAAAACGGGGATTAAGAAACTAACGCGGAACTGAAAATGATAAATGCAAAATTCCGGGCATTACATTACATTTTGTTTGCTACTTACATACTGCATCATTACGAAGAAACAATCGATACACGAGCCGGAGTGCGATAAAGTCTAAGTATTGAACACTCGAGACAATATCGATTATGATATGGCTATGGCTACGCTTTATATAGCAATGGTTACATCCTCGGATTCCGTCGCGTGGGATTAAATTACGCGGTTCATCAGTAAACTTCTGGATCTTATAGATAATAAATAAATATTTACAACACGGTACCATTTTGCCCCGCGATTAAAGGGTAGACCAAACTAAGACAAAAGGATAGATAGAAAAGTAAACCAATTTTGACATATATAATACCATGGCCAATTCGGTTTAGACATTTATTCCGTCACCTTACATACACCTAAACTTTAAAATTATAAAAGAAAAACGTTAAAAAATAGTACAAAAGAAAAAAAATGTGTTAAAAACAGTAATCATATAAATATTGACATCTTAAAATATCACAATACTGTGTTATTTTGTGGCGGCGGAAGGGGTCGTCTCAGCTGTTTTACATCATTAATCTTTTGTTAGCTTATCTGTTGCACATGCTCAGAATCGGTGCCACCCACTCGACCTTTCTAAAATTGGTTAATCATCTGGGTAATCAAAGTGGACTACAGAGGTACTAAGCTTGGATCGTCCAGGGGTCAGCGTTCGATACTAAATATTTCGAGGGTTACAATCAAATTAAAAATGATACTGAATAATAATTAAATTGGAAACAAAGGTTCTCGAGTAGCAGCCTCATCGCAGAGTGAGATGGAATGATGATCCGTTCAAATGTTCGGGAAGTTGATGGATGCAGGTGGCTCAGGATCGTACTTCTTGGCAGTCTATGGGGGAGACCTATGTTCAGCAGTGGACTCAATAGGCTGAAATAATGATGATGAATAATGGAATACTCGATGGCGCAGTTGTTATTAAGCAGCGGTGTCGGTGATCGTGGGTTCGATTTCCACACGGGGCAAGTATTTGTATGACCTGCAAATAATTGCTCCTGATCTGGGTGCTTGTTTTCCAAGGAAGGTGGCCGTCAGGTAGGTCTTTTACGGCCTACCGCCTGGTCGTAATGAACCTGGCATATACAACATGATACTCCACCTAGGCGGGATAAAGGCAAGAAAAAGAAGTTATCCTATATTGTGAATATGTGTCACTTGGAAGTTTATTTTGAAAACTCAGACGTTATATCCTGTACACTATCTATTGTGCTCGCCATGACTGGGACTCTAAACGGTCCTGGCCATTCATTCAAAAGTGAAGACTCTTGTTTGGCCCTACCACAGTCAAATTAACGACGAGATTTTTTGTGTAAAAATATGTCAAGTAATCATTTTTGCCTGTTTGAGTCCACTGCTAAACATAGGCCCCCATAGACTGCCACGAAGTACGATCCTGAGCCACCTGCATCCATCGACTTCCCGCACATTTGCACAGGTCGTCACTCCATCTAGTGGGGGGTTGTCCTAAACTGCGATGGCCTGTACGAGCCTGCCACTCAAGAACCTTTCTTCCCAAATATTTATTTATTTTAACTAAATATAAAGAAAAAAACAAACCTTCAAATCTTTTCGCTCTGTCCACAGACGACATCGAAGATGACCTTAACTTGTTTACCGAAATGGTTTGATTTGAACGCACTTAAAATCGACCTCCAAACTGAACCTACTAAACTTAAAACTATTAGCATAAATCGATTATTTAGTTCCGTCTGGTATCGATGTCGAGATTGATTTTAAACCGACTTCAAAAAAGGAGGATGCCAATTCGGTTGCTTGTTTTTAGGGTTCCGTACCCAAAGGGTAAAAGTGTATGCTTAGATCTTTATAACTACGCAACGGATCTTGTTGCAGTTTTTTTACTGGATAGAGTGATTAAAGAGGAAGGTTTATATGTATAATTCATGCATAATATAGTAGAGAAACACTGATAATTTTAGAGGTTTCTAAATGCGATGTCGATAACAAATTCAGGGTTGCACCCATGCGAAGCCGGGGCGGGTCGCTAGTAATATAAATAGTTATTTACATGTAAAAAAAAAAGACTTCGTCGTTTTATATCGTCAGTGATCATCGAAACGAAAACGCGAGACTCGACGTGAGTTTTATCTTAATACAGTTGACAATTTTTTTTCGTCTGTTAACCGAACAATCCAATAGGTATTACGCGACGCAGATAAACCACCAGAAATCACTGACCCTAATGGCTCTCTATGGCTCTATGAAACGTTTAAGAGTTTCGTTACAAGAAAACACGGGCGATAGCGAAGCGACTAAATTACTTAGTGAAACTGATAAGTGCCGTTACTACAAAATCTTTTCGAACATTGTCATCTAAACAGTATAACGTATTATGTCTTCGCTCGCTTCTTATGGAAAATTGGGTACCGGGTGAAGCTTTGAAGGCCACGCAACAGTGTTCACTGTTGCACGAATGGGCAGGTCCGTCCGGGTAAGTACCACGACCTCACAGAAGACCGGCATGAAGTGGCAGTGAGTCTTCGTTCGGTGAGTGAGGTTGCCGGGGCCCGCTTTATTAAAAGTTGGCATGTGGCAACGCATTTAAAACCCTACGGGTGTTGCAAATCTTCTTGGGCGGCGGCAATCACTTAACATTATGTGAACCGCCAGCTCGTTTGCCACATTCTCACATAAAAAAAAGTGTGTATCAATGAAAGTTATTTCGTTTTGAAGGATAACTTTCTTCAGTCTACTTCGCTATCTTCCTTTTAAACAAATTCTTAATCGATGGCGTTATCATTGATTCATTACAAAAGATTTTTTACGTTAAAAGTTTTTTTATGTTATGTTTAAAATGGATGTTATGGTGCTCCGACTGAAACACCTTTGTGAAATAATAATACCTATGAAATTGCCGTTCTTCAGTATTAGCCATTTCAAACAAAAACAAGTAGAATATAATTTAAAAAACCAAAAAACCCGTCTGCGTTTCTTTCTCACAGTAAATACGAATCTAACGACACCTCTCAAGCTAAAATCCATCAAGCCGTTCAGGCTGCAGAGCGTACCAAACAATTATACAAACATAAATACATATACTCTCGAAAAACATAACCCTCCTTCTGACGCAGTCGGGTAAAAATAAATTTCGACTTTCTATGAATTCAAAATTCAAATTAATTTTGTTTCAAAAATAAACTTATTACATACAAAACGGCCATTTCATAGGTATCAATTAATCATTTATTTGCCATCTAAGTTTACATTTTATAAATAGGTGTTACAATAGATATGTAAACAGAAACTTAGATGCCCTTTCCAGGCACTGCAAATTTTCTAATGGACACTGCTCACTTAAATGTTAATTAAGTTAAACGAATCAACACAAATTAACACTCATTGTTATTGTAAGAATATGAAAATGAACACAAACTGAATACAATACAAAATAAAAATGAAAAGAATAAAAAAGAAAAATGTTTCGTTGGGTAAAGACCTAATACATAATATTACGGAGATCATCGGATGTTCACTAAAGTGCCAACGTGATGCGTGCCTATCGCTGAGACGGTGGCGTTACTCCCGCGACGTGTTGTGAAACCGGTACTAAAACGGCTCGGTGGCCACGCGAGGCCGAGGCCTGACGTCATCCGGGTGACGTCACATCGATGACGTCACTATGTCGTGAACGGGGGGCGTTGAGTCTTAAGGCCCATTTACATGGTGCCAGTTTCTTGCCTGTTGTATACAATTAAATTGAAGCAATAAATGAGTTGCATGGTCTAAACAAGAAATGGTCTAAACAATTATTGCGCGCAATTTATTGCATTCAATTATTGCTCTTGTATGTTCAAGAAAATGGCATCGTGTAAATGGGCCTTTATTCTGTTCACTTTTTAACTTGTTGTCGAAACGGGCAATGGAGTTTATAGGCACCAAACTTGACTTGGTATTTTATTATTCATTAATGGTACTTTATTCATTTATTGTTTATTTATTTCCAACCGTGAGAGCCGTCATAGCTCAGTGTCCGGGCGCTCGCCTTAATTCAATATACTCGAGCAACCTGAGTTCGATCCCCGGTGCCGGCACCAATGAAGTTTTTAACTTTAAGTGCTGACTTATCACGTGCTCCGCGGTGAAGGAAACATCTTGAGGAAACCTGCATATTTTCGAAATAACAACAAAAAAATTGAGAGATTGTGGGTAGGAGTGAAATCAATAAGACACATATTTTACTGCTCTGTATTTTTTAATGTTAAAATATTATAAAAGACCTTTATATGTATAAATTAATGTACCTGTGACATCCCAATTCCCACCAACTTGTCTGATATATAAGTCAGAGCTTCATTAATTGCTACACATTGTTTTCGTCGCTGCCTTTGTTGTATTCATAACCTCAAATTCAAACCAATGGAATCTATCAAGAAATCTGTGGCTGATCTTACGGAGCATTTTAATTTGAAGATGGCAGAGTTCCAAAAGGACCTTAAGAGCGCTATACCTGCAACAAGCCCAACGTCAAACATTAATCATCAGTTCAACTCATTCCGTGCCTTTGTTCTGACTGCCCTTGAGAACCTTCAACTGCAGGTAGAACTGTTATCCCGACAGAATGACGAAATTGAAATGAGGTCGCGACGAAAAATACTGCTGGTGCATGGTGTTGCTGAGGGTAAGAAGGAAGACACACCTGCTACTGCTGTCAATGTACTGTCCGACTATTTAAAAATCCCAGGCATAACCTCAGAGTCCTTTAGTAGGTGTCATCGTCTTGGTCAACCTGGAAACGAAAAGCCTCGGGCTATCCTTCTTAAATTCAAAGACTTTGCGTTAAAAGATAAGGCATGGCTGGCAAAGAAGAATTTTAAGGGAACTGGAATCACCTTATCTGAATTTCTTACAAAAAATCGGCATGCAGTATTCCAAACAGCGCGACAACGTTTCGGAGTCTCCAAATGCTGGACGAGAGATGGAATCATCTTCGTATTAGGACCTGGCCAGACTCGATACCGCGTCCAATCCAGAATAGACCTGGACGCTATTCCGAGCTCCGAAGTGGTGGCGCATCCCTCGTCTGCTGCGGCGGTGGTTACAGGTGCGGCGAAGGACACCAGGTCTACGCAAGTGAGAGCCAAGAGGGTTGTTAAAAAATAAATAACCTTTCGGTGTAGTAGTTAGATGCTTTTACGGTACATTTATTCCGTTAATTTTGTTTATTTCATTGGTTGTTTAAAAGTTCACTATTTTAATTCTTTTCATTATATAAATAAAAATTTTAAAGTAAGTTACGCGACAATAACAAACACAACGATTGACAACCGTCGTTGACATTGACAGATGACTGCCATATCGAGTTTGCCAGACTCATCTTGTCTTTGACTTTGCGTTCTGTTTTTGCTGTACTAGCAGAAAGTGCTATTAATTAATTTGTTAAATAAGAACAATATTTCTGATAGGACATTATTACTATGTTATTTTTTTTTTTTTTGTTTTCTCTTCTACTAGATTTATTTATTAGTAGCTCTGATGTTTTTACAAATACTTTTACCGGTGTTAATCTCTTTCAGACTGCTGGCGGGTTTGGGATTTATAATTTTTTTTTTTTTTTTTTAGTTACTTTTGGTATTTTTATTCAATTTAATATTTAATTATATATATTTATATTATTATAATATACATTTTATATAAATATAATGTCGTTATTTAATGGTGACTTTAGTGATGACTCCAGTGATTTTTTGTCTTTGCCGTCAAACGATAGTACCTCTAGTGAGGTAAGTTTTCACAGTACAATATCTTCCATTCCTTTAAATGATGCCCTTAATTCGTATTTCTCAGATGATCTGAAAAATTTTAATGTCGTTCACATAAATGCACAAAGTATTCCGGCTCACTATACAGATATGCTTGCGTCTTTTGAATCCCGTAACATACACGCTATTCTTGTCTCCGAATCTTGGTTGAAGCCATGTTTACCTTCCACTTCTTACTCACTGCCAGGATTTCATCTTATTCGCAACGACCGCTTAGGCAAGAGCGGAGGTGGAGTGGCGATTTACCTGCGCTCTTACATTCCTTTTACTGTAGTAAGTACGTCCACTCAGCCCCCACTTTCCAATGCGGCCGAGCATCTATTTATTGAAGTTTCACTATCCCATTCCAAAATTCTTCTTGGCGTCTGTTATAGCCCATCTCTCCAAATTGACTACTTCACATCCTTTGAAGGTTTATTAGAAAAGTTTACTCCGTTATATAGTCACACCATTATTATGGGTGACTTTAACACCTGTCTACTCAAAGGGGACAGTCGGTCTAAGAAGTTACAATCGGTTATTGACGCGTGTAATCTACACTTATTACCTCTCTCGGCAACACATCACCTACCCGATTGTACCCCTTCATTACTTGATATTGTTATTGTATCCGCAGCTGACTTTGTCCACAAGCATGGCCAACTTGCGGCGGATATTTTCTCTCATCACGACCTCTTATTCCTTTCATACAAAGTTCGTCCCCTCAAAGCAAAATCGAGATATCTTCTGCAACGTAATTTTGGTGGAATGGACAAAGAACGCCTCATTGAAGATGCTAGTCTTGTGGATTGGTCTGCGATTGCAAAAGCTACCACGGTGGACATGAAAGTAGAATTACTTAACTCCTTTCTTGTACAACTTTACGATATTCATGCTCCGATTAAGCCTGTAAAAATGAAACACCTACCTGCGCCTTGGTTAACCGATGACCTTAAAAAACTTATCAGGAAAAAAGGTTACGCAAAAAGTAAGCTTAAGGCGGATAAATCCGATAAAAATCTACGAAACTATAATAAAGTACGGAATCGCTGCAATACATTATGTAGAGATGCACAACGACGCCACATTCACAAATCTGTCGAAAACGGCGACACTGTCAAAGTTTGGAAATTTCTTAAATCTCTGGGAGTTGGTAAATTACACTCTAGCTCTCTTCATAATAATATTGATATTGAACTCCTTAACCAACATTTTACCTCTTCCAGTACAATTGATAGATCAGATAAAGATATCACGTTGAGTATTCTTTCTAAAGCGCCAACTCCTGATTTCCCACCGTTTAATTTCACTCCTTTCACTGAGTGTGATGTTAGAAGGAACATATTGTCGATCTCGTCGAATGCCGTGGGGAATGACAGCGTTAGTCGTAACATGATCCTACCTATCCTTGACCTAGTTACTCCTGTTATCACCCATATCCTGAATGAATCTATCTCCACATCTAAATTTCCTGAAGCATGGAAAAGTGCATTAGTAACTCCTCTTCCTAAAAAGGCTCATGCCGTGCACTCTACCGATTTCCGCCCTATCTCCATTCTCCCTTTTCTATCTAAAGTCCTAGAGAAACTCATTTTCCACCAATTAAATCTCCATCTGAATAGAAACTGCCTTCTAAATCCTTTTCAATCCGGTTTCCGGTCAGGACATAGTACAACTACAGCGCTGGTTAAAATTACTGACGATATTCGACGAGGTATGGACAATAGACAGCTCACAGTATTGGTACTATTGGATTTCAGTAATGCATTTAATTCTGTTGATCATGACATTCTGCTGAGTCTGTTACGTTCTGCTAACATATCTCCACCAGTGGCCGGCTGGTTTCAGAGTTATCTTAGTGGCCGACAGCAGCGTATTCGCATTGATGGTATGTTTTCATCCTGGCGTGAATTACGAGCTGGAGTGCCTCAAGGTGGTGTGTTGTCTCCATTACTCTTTGCTATCTTTATTAATTCAATCTCTCACAATATTACTTCTCTCTACCATATGTATGCAGACGATTTTCAACTGTACACACATTCAAATCTTGAAAATTTGCCCACTGCTGTTACTGCCATTAATGGTGACCTGGCGGCTATTAGCGAGTGGAGTAAGAGCTATGGTCTTAAGATTAATCCTTGCAAGTCCCAGGCCATCATTGTTGGCGGAGTTGGCATGATTTCAAAGGTAGATTGGTATAACCTTCCCTCGATAACATTAAATGGTGTTGTGGTGCCATACAACAAAACTGTTAAAAACCTTGGTGTTCACTTCGACTCTACTTTCTCGTGGTCTCACCAGTTAAAGGAAGTTAGCAGGAGAACATTTGCAGCCATGGGTTCTCTGCGGCGCTTACGTTCTTTTCTCCCCATTCCTACTAAGATTATGTTAGCACAATCCTTACTTCTTTCCCTTCTCGATTATGCGGACGCAAGCTATCTTGATTTAACCGAGGACCAACTTAACAAGCTTGAGCGAATTCAAAACTTAGCTATCAGATTTATTTTCGGTCTACGCAAGTATGACCATGTCTCCGAATATCGTACAAAGCTCAAGTGGTTACCCATCCGCCTTCGCCGGAATCTGCATATTGTTTCTCTTCTGTACTGTGTTTTGTTCAATCCTATGACTCCGAGTTATTTGAAGGAACAGTTTAAATTTCTTGGTCATGACAGACCAGAAAGAGTTCTGCGATCAGCCAGTGAACTCATTGTCACCCCGCATACTTTCCGGACCAATTATTTTAAGAACTCTTTTACGGTCAAAGCCATTTGCCTATGGAACGCGCTTCCTCCACACATCCAGCGCTCAAAAACGTTACGCAAGTTTAAAACTGACGTTAAAAATTATTATCTGTCACTGTGTTCAAGCTGATTATCACCGACGACATTTGTATATTTATTTTTTATTCTTTTCTTCCTGTATATATTTTTTTAAGTTATTGTACAGTATATGTTTAGATTTATGTATGTCTATTGGATCTTATTTCGTATATATTAGTATATTATTATTATACAAAAATACAACATATTCGTTTAGTTTATTTAAATATTAGTATGTAAGTTTATCATTTACACCACCTACCATTGTCCAAATTAAATATTTTTAACCACAAGGTTGTCTGGAAGAGATCGCTCCTTAGCGATAAGACCGCCTTATTGTTTATACCTCTTAAGTTTATAGTTCTGTAACATTTCCTTTCATGTTTTTTTGGTGTTCAATAAAGAATATATAATAATAATAAAAAAATATATATATTTCGAATATATGTGAAGTCCGCCAATCCGCAGTTGGGCCGCGTGGTGGACTATGCCCTGATACCCTCTGTATAGAGGAGGCCTTTGCCCAGCAGTGGGACATGTATAGGCTGTTACTTGACTTGACTTGACTTATTTCCAACCGACTTCAAAAACGGAGCTGGTTCTCAATTCGACTGTATTTTTTTTTTGTGTTACCTCAGAACTTTTGATCGAGTGAACTTGATTTTTTATGTCAAACGAGCAGACGGTTCACCTGATGTTAAGTGAATACCGCCGCCCATGGACATCTGCCACACCCGAGGGCTACAGATGCGTTGACAACCTTCTGAAAATTGGGCTCCGGCTACCTCACTCACCGGACGAAACGCGAAAGTATTTGTCGTACTTCGACTTTACGCCGGTCTTCTGTGAGGTCGTGGTACTTACCCGGACGGGCCTGCCCATTCGTGCAACAGCCGAGGCTGCTGCGTGGCCCTACCACTAGTAAACTGATTTTGATGCTTCGTTGTTTATTTGAAAATTGGTGATTCCCATGTGGTTCCCATGTTAATTTCATTGGTATTGGATCTTGTGTTCCGGAGATACTTAGGGAAATCCTGAAAATCAATAATAAAATGAATACATAGAGCGACATATTTGAAGTCTGTTTTGTTTTTCGTCAATAAAAAATTGCTCAACAGCATTTCAAGTACCCACTAAAATTCGCAAAATTCTAACCAAAACCTCATGAATGAGAAACATTTGGGAGGTTACGATAAATACGCCTCGCCTCCTTGTAACACGCGTAAAAATGTAAGCGTACAACACTGACGCCAAGTCGGCACACCCGCAGTACCTGAACGAGGTGGGCCACAGGGTGTGCGTGACGCAGCCGCGCGTTGCCGCGGCCGTGTCGCTGGGTGTACGCGTCGCTCAAGAGCGTGGCGAGGAGCCAGGGCGGACGGTGGGCTACGCCGCCTCGATGACGTCATCGAGGGGCGAGGACACCTCAATAGTGGTGAGTGACACAATGACATACAAGCAATTCTTTTTATTAGGATATGACGCCATCGAGGGGCTCCGACACCTCCATAGTGGTGAGTAGCGTTACGAGCAATTCCTTTTTTAAGGGTTCCGTATCCAAAGGGTGAAACGGGACCCCATTACTGAGACTCCGCTGTCTGTCTGTCCGGCCGTGTGTGTGCTGTATCTCGTGAACATTTAGACACATGAAATTTTCACAGATGATGTATTTATGTTGTCGTTACAACAATAGATACTAAAAAATCAGTCTATACATGTCCCACTGCTGTGCAAAGGCCTCCAAATACGGCATACCCTCTGTACAACACGCGGCCCCACTGCGGATTGGCGGAGTACACATATCTTCGAAATATTTCGAATATATCCAGATTTGCTCACGATGATTTTCTTCACCGCGGAGCACGTGATAAGTCAGCACTTAAAGTTAAAAACTTCATTGGTGCCGGCACCGGGGATCGAACTCAGGTTGCTCGAGTATATTGAATTAAAGGCGAGCGCCCTGACACTGAGCTATCACGGATACGGTTTATTTTAACTGTCATAATATTTCGGTTAGAGTTTACTCCATCAGCGATCTCTGTCCACCTCCTTTGCTCTAAACGTGAGGGCGTTTTAGAGCGAGTCACGCATAGGCGATAAGGTTTTTTATGGCGTGTTTCATTATCGCGTTCCATTCGTGATACTGTGCAACCTTTTAATGGCCAGCATTTAATGGACCTTCGATAACACGGCAATAAATGTGAAATTTGGCTCTTTTAGAGTTTCTTACCCAAAGGGTAATACGGGACCCTATTACTAAGACTCCGCTGTCTGTCTGTCCGTCAGTCACCAGATAGAATCTCATGGACCGTGATAGTTGGACATTTGAAATTTTCACAGATGATGTACTTCTGTTGCCGCAATAACAACAAATAGATACTAAAAAACAAAAAAAATAAGTGGGGCTCTCATACGAAAGACATGATTTTCTTGCCGTTTTTATAGATATGGTACGGAACCCTTTTTGCGCGAGTCGTACTCGCACTTGGTTGGATTTTTTTTTCAATCGCCACTGCGAAAAGGCTGCTTGAGAGACGGTGGTCGCGCATTCGAATCCCAGAGGCTCGAACAAATGGGTTGTCCGTTTTCGGATTGGGTGTGAAAATATCTTTGCGTTAATTTGGAACGTTCTGTGGAAGAATACCTTCGGATGTATCTAGCTAACTCACAGAAATCATCTCTGATGCACGCCTTATCACACGTGACAGATGCGTAGCACGCCACTATTTGGCGAAGGACTTTTTTATATGTGAATAGTTGGCAAGCGAGCACGCCAACAGCGTCCGCTGTTGCACGAATGGGCAGGTCCGGGGAGGTCCGTCCGGGTAGTACCACGACCTCGCAAAAGAACTGGAAGAGAAGAGGAACTGAAACTTCTGAGCGTCGTCTGGTGAGTGAGGTGGCCCACTGTATTAAACGGTGGCAACGAATCTGCAACGCTTCGGGTGTTGCAGAAATGTTCATGACTGCACTTACGTCACTCAACATAAGGAACCGCTAGATAGCTTACCACCTTCTCACATAAAAAGTAGTAACGTTTTCATATCTCGATTTTACGTGGATATTATACATATCAAATGAAACCAGTTTGTGGATCTTGTAGCGTTTTAATTTTGATTTTTAACTCCCGACGTTTCGAACCCTTCGCTGCGTTCATTGTCACGGGTCAGACCGAAAAAATCAAAAGCGATCAAATCCGTGAACTGGTTTCATTTAATAAATACTAACGCTCTTCGGAGCTCTGTACGCTGTACTCTGCCAGCGCAAGGATCTTACGGTACTCTAATTGATAAAATTAACCCTACGAAGAGCTCTAATGGTTCGAACACGAGCCGTCACTATACGAAAGGTCAAACGCAAAAATCCGGCCAAGAGCGAGTCGGACTCGCAAGAAGGGTTCCGTACCATTATTTATGTACGGCAAAAAAATGATGTCTCTTGTATGGGGGCCCCACTTGTACATTTCTAATTTTGTTTTTTAATATTTGTACTTATAGCGGCATCATCTGTGAAAATTTAAACTGTCTAACTGTCACGGTTCATGATATGTCTGTTGTGTTCTGTTCTGTTGTCAGACTGATAGACAGACAGACAGACAGCGAAGTCTTAACTCTTTGGGCGCGGAAACATAAAATTACAAAATAGAACATATCAAACGCTGTATGAACGCGCCCGGATATTCACCAGATGCTTATATTGATGAGAATCGATTTTTCCTATCAATCTGGCCGAGGTCAAACGTGAAATTAGTTTAAGGAAAAGGAAATGCCTTCGTATAATAATTGCTTTCGTGACGAACAACTTTTGCGTTTAATGTTATAAGTGTATCGATGTATATTATTTCTCAAAGGTGTTTTTTTTACCGGAACGCCATTACTTAACAAATTATACAAGTAGTATTAAGGCCCATTTACACGGTGCAAGTTTCTTGCCTGTTGTATACAATTAAATTGAAACAATAAATGAGTTGCATGGTCTAAACAACAAATGGTCTAACAAATTATTGCGCGCAATTTATTGCATTCAATTATTGCTCTTGTATGTACAAGAAAATGGCATCGTGTAAATGGGCCTTTACTCTTTTCGTCGAAAAACTTTCTTTAAAATTGTCTTATAAAGAATGTGTAATAGAACAATCTATCGATTATTGGTCTACATGAAATTTCATTTAGACAAATACAATTTATACATTACTAGCTTTTCGCTCGCGGCTTCGCGTTGAAGCCCTTAAATAATTTCTTTTTTATTTTATTTATAAAAAGAATCCTATGCCCTTTTCACTACCTCTAAGAATATATATACAAAGTTTCATGATAATTTAATATAACATGATAATATAATATATATTAAAAAAAAACATTCACATTTATGTTATAAATATGAATGTTAGTTTTATACTACGACGAGTATGTACTCGTCGTAGTATAAAACAAAGTCGTCCCGCTGTCTGTCTGTCCCTATGCATGCTTAGATCTTTAAAACTACGCAACGGATCTTGATGCGGTTTTTTTACTAGATAGAGTGATTCAAGAAGAAAGTTTATAATATGTATAATACATTGCACCCGTGCGAAGCGGGGGCGGGTCGCTAGTTATACAATATATAGCGTGTCTTTACCACCGCGACAATAAATTAACTCATGTCTAACGCTACTTGCCAATAATCATAAAAAAATATTAACGTTAAAAAATCCATAATTAAAAAAAATATATTTTTCAAACAAACTAATTAAGTAAAAAAGAAACAAAATTTGTAACATCCTATACAACTACATCTGACTGATTCATACATTCAGAGACTTTTTCATTCGTTGCCACAGCGCCGCATTACAAGCCTCTCCTTCTAACAGTATGTTTTGTCTCTTTTACATTCATTCAACCCATTCATATGCTTTGTGACCTTTACAAATGAACTTTACATTAATGTTTTATATGTAAGGGTATTCTAAAATTCTTTGTTTTGGAAAAATTGATAACTCGTTAAATATTGATGTTTAAAGAATGTAAATTTTTAATATATTTTTAAAAAGTTATCCTCTATATGTGTGTTCATTTTTTGTCGCGATGGTAAAGACACGCTGTATATAAAAGTAGGGAGTTCTTTCGATTTGTAGAATCCGTTCCAAGAATCCATAATGTGATTACGACAAACGATGCCCTATTAACGGCTTACAAAATTCGGATCTTAAACGGCCTGTGAGCTTTCAAACGATTTAGTAAATTTTAAATTCGTATCGTAATGAACACTTTGTTGGATGCCACCATCAAACAATCGTATTTGAGATATTTGGCCAGTCTATGTCAGCGTCGTTTCCCCAGAAAAACGGCGGCGACATCGCCGTCGAGTTTGTCGGTCTTGTTTGCCGAACAACTTTGTCAAACATGTTTGCCGAACAAGTTTGTCAAACATGTTTACCGATGTGCCTGAAACGCGTTCGCGACGGTCCCGAACGACTGTTACTGGAGATCCTTATTTCCTTACTAATAATATAAAAGCGAAAGTTTGTATTTATGGATGTTTGTTACTCTTTCACACAAAAACTAGTTAACTGATTTTAATTAAACTATAAAATAATATAGCTTATACATCAGGATAACACTTAGGCTATAATTTTTATAAAGATACAAGGGTCCCTCAAAGTAACTCTGTCCGTCTGTTACGCCTATACGATTACCGCAGAACAATTTTGATGAATTTCGGTATAAAGATTGATAGGACCTAGGAGAATAAAATAAGCTACTCGAAGTGCTTATGCTGTGCAGACGAAGTCGCGGGCGCCAGCTAGTTCGGCAAATAAATTTGACAGACAGGGCCCCTAGTACTCGCCATCGAGTGTTCAACGGCGTCTTCAGCTGCCGAGTCTTCACACGCACGCGACTGTACCTACCTACTGTCTATTTCGATCCCGGCCCACGGCAATACGCGATGCGATGATTTTTCTATTTCCCAACTAAAATTGGAGGCCCCGCTCCACTTAGCAAATGGGCGGCTTGGCTCGCTACCAACACTCGATCAACGATTCTTTAACCGTTGACTGAAGTACCGGCTATAAGCCGATAATGGTCTGATTGCTGGACCATTAGTAAATGGAACAGAAACTCCGAATCTTAATGGTACAACAATTTGTCGTGCATCTAAAACCTACACGTTCTTAACTTCTTCGTTTTCTTTCTCTTGCTCTTGCCTCTATGATCAACGATTCTTTAACGGTTAACTAAAGTACCGGCTATAAGCCGATAATGGTCTGATTGCTGGACCATTAGTAAATGGAACAGAAACTCCGAATCTTAATGGTACAACAATTTGTCGTGCATCTAAAACCTCTTTCTCTTGCTCTTGCTCTTGCCTCTATGATCAACGATTCTTTAACGGGTAACTAAAGTACCGGCTGTAAGCCGATAATGGTCTGACGGCTGGGTCATAAGTAACTGGAACAGAAACTCTGCAATTTATTGATACAACAATTTGTCGTTCATTTAAAACCTACACGTTCATAGCTTCTTCATCTTCTTTCTCTTGCTGTTTACCCGACACCTTTATGGGGTCAGGTCAACATGAATCATGCTGTCAATGGGTATTTACGATCTGTCTGATGTCAACCCTCCTCGGAATTAAGCTCCCATATCCTGATCTTTGGTTTAGACAAATACTTGTCGCGAGTGGAAATCGAACAGGCGACCGCCGGCGAAGCCAAACTTTTAGTTAGCAACTGCGCCAACGAGTCAGCAATGTTAATTGTCGTGCTAATTAGATTTGTGAGACGTACGCGATTGTCATTGTGTTGAAACAATGAAGCCAAGTAACGGTCGTTTTCAATAGTCTATCAACAGACAGATTTGGGTACAGGAGACATAATTTTGACGTAAGTCTTATGTAGCTAATGTCAAATACCTATCGCTGGTAAACAAATCTATCTGTAGGTTGAATATTGAAACCGGCCGTTGGTCTGCAGTTTTATTCCCGGTCTTTCGTGCGCGTATGTGCACAGTTCACGGCGATAAACTCGCCACCCGTAAACGCTTTTAGGAGTTAATACTGTTTATACTCAAGTAGGTTATACATGTTATATTGTTATTTGAGTTTTTTTTAAAGAGCAACCAGCCTTCCTTATTTATTTATGTCAGACAAATTATGTCAAAAAATGGAAAAAAAAGTATCCCGCTGAGCTTCTTTCGCCTGTTCTTCCCAGTTCAGTGGCTTCCTTTTTTAGTATTTTGGCTATCAATTAGTGAGAGTAATGCTCCTAAGTTTAATAAAGATATATTTCCTGGATGAGGAGGTATTTTTGTAAATTATGTATTTTGGAAATAAAAAAAAATAAAAAATAAAGAAATGATCTGGTAAAGAAAAAAAAAAATAGGGATAAAAGGACATTTTCTAAAAATGAAACCTAGCTAGATCGATTTTTCGCCCCCGAATCTACACACGTACTAAATTTCATGAATACCTATCTTATCTCTTACATGTTAACGTTTGCTTTAAATTGTACGTTCAATTTAAATGTTTAAGTCCACAGTCTATTACAATCTATAATAGATTGTAGACGTAAACGTTTAAATCATTTGGTATCAAAGGCGACATATCCAGATTTCAAATATTCATTGTAAAAATCATTTGACCTTTGTGAAATGAAAAATTTCATGATAACCGCAAACTTACAATCACATTAACAATATTAGTAGGGATATTAGGGAATAGTAATCCGTTTCCGAAGTAAAGTTTTAATTTTTTTCTACAAATTTTAATGTTTTTCTTAGGTGCAGAGATTAGAAAAATTAAAACTGCGTAGCGACTCGCTCCGGCTTCGCACGGGTGCATAGGTATCGAGACCGTTGCGTAGTTTTAAAGATCTAAGCGTACATAGGTACAGACAGACAGCGGGACGACTTTGTTTTATACTATGTAGTGATTATGCATTATTTTTCAATTAATATAATTTTCGTTTCAGTTCATGACGGAGGGCGTGCTTCTTAGAGAGATGTTTGCGTCTCCTCTACTGATGCAGTACTCGTGCATAGTGCTGGACGAGGTAATTTTTTTTATGTGAAAAGTTACACTGCGAGCAGACGGTTCACCTGATGTTAAGTGAATACCGCCGCCCTTGGACATCAGCTACACCCGAGGGTTACAGATGCGTTGACAACCTTATGAAAATTGAGCTCCGGCCACCTCACTCATCATAGGAAACGTGAAAGTATTTGTTATATAGTATATTATTATTTGTCGTGGTACTTACCCGGACGGGCCTGCCCATTCGTGCAACAGCCGAGGCTGCTGCGTGGCCCTACCACCGTGGCGACAAGAGCCGCTAACACCAGTTGGGCTACTGCTATTACTGATTATCGATGTAATTGCATTCAATCAATAAATCAGAAATATATTCATTCGAATAGAGGCTTACGCGTTCTTATGAATCGTCAAATTTTACATAAAAAATATCTATATATGTTCGTAAGGTACCACCGGTTCGGAAAGCAGTTTCTGCTGAGAAGAGACCGGCAAGAAACTCAACAGTTGCTCTTTTTCAAAAGTATCTGTTTACAATATAGCATACAGGTAGCCGTGATAGCTCAGTGTCCGGCCGCTCGCCTTTAGTTCAATATACTCGAGCAACCTGAGTTCGATTACCGGTGCCGGCACCAATGAAGTTTTTAACTTTAAGTGCTGACTTATCACGTGCTCCGCGGTGATGGAAAACATCGTGAGGAAACCTGCATTTTTCGAAATAAGAACAAAAAATATATATTTCGAAGATATGTGAAGTCCGCCAAACCGCAGTGGGGCCGCGTGGTGGACTATAATAATAATAATAATACCACAGACCCGAGCAAGTACCGCCCCATTACGTGTCTACCGACCATCTATAAGACACTGACATCTGTTCTGAGCATGAGAATCACCCGACATATTAATATGAATCGGATTATGTCTCCTGCTCAGAATGGATGTCGGGGCGGCGGTCGTGGAACCAAGGAACCGCTTCTCATCGACGCGGTCATTGGCAAAATGGTTAAACGCAACCGTCGGAACTTCTCCGCCGCCTGGATAGACTACAAAAAGGCATTCGACTCTGTGCCCCATACATGGCTAAAGAGGGTCCTCGAACTGTACAAAGTAGACTGTACAGTAAGAGAATTCCTCGGGCACTGTATGGGGCAATGGAGTAGGATCCTTTGTCATCTAGGCGAGCGGATGACGGCTGCGGAATACCGGATAAGGATACGACGGGGTATTTTCCAGGGCGACTGTTTGAGTCCAATATGGTTTTGCCTCTCCCTGAATCCTCTCAGCGTGTTACTGGAGGGCTCGGGGGGAGGATTTCAGCTTCGGAGAGGAGGGACAAAAGTGACCCACCTTTTCTACATGGATGACCTCAAATTATTCGCCTCCAATCGCTCCCATTTGATAGAATTGCTTAAAGTCACTTGTGATTTCAGCAATTCTATCAAAATGGAGCTTGGGACGGATAAGTGTGCGGTGCTCCATGTCGAAAGGGGTAAGGTCGCTAACACGGAGGGCATAGATTATCTATGCCCGTTAACATAAGGACCCTCTCTGAGGCTGAAAGGCTGAAACATACCGATACCTGGGTATGTCACAAAACATGTGTATCGATGAGGCTGCCATGAAACAGTCAGTTCGTGACGTGTTTTTTGCACGCCTGACAAAGGTGTTTAACAGCCATTTGTCAGGCGTGAACAAGGCACGCGCATTTAACGGCTGGGTCATGCCAGTCCTCATGTATACCTTTGGCATACTCAGGTGGACTCAAACTGAGCTCAATGCCCTGGACCGAAAAGTCCGCACAACTATGACGTCCCACAGAATGCATCATCCAAGATCGTCAGTGATGAGGCAGTACCTGCCGCGGAAGCATGGCGGGAGGGCTTTTTGAGCGCCCTTACCATGCACAATCGCGAGGTGTGCAGCCTCCGCAACTACTTCCTGGCGAGATCGGATGAGTCAATCTACACGGACGTCATTAGTTGTGATAAAGGACTTACCCCTCTATCCTTAGCCAACGAGCAATGGCAGGACCCGGGAGTACTGAGCGTTTCCGACCGACAGGCCGTATGGAAGGAGAAAGAGCTCCACGGGAGGTTCTACAAGGCTCTACACGAGCCTTTCGTAGATACTGTTGCCTCCCTGAACTGGCTACGTTTCGGTGACCTCTTTGGGGAAACCGAAGGTTTTGTCTGTGCGATACAGGATCAGGTTATTAAGACGAACAACTATAGGAGATACATCCTAAGGGATGGCACCGTCGACATCTGTCGAGCTTGTCGCCATCCCGGGGAGTCGCTTCGGCATGTTATGCCGGTTGTTCCATGCTTTCTAACTCTGAGTATCTGCATAGACACAACCTAGTAGCCAGAATCCTACACCAGGAGCTCGCTCTGAAATACGGCCTCGTGGTTCGAAAACTGCCGTACTACAAGTACTATCCGGAAGCCGTGCTCGAAAATGACCGCGCCAGGCTCTATTGGGACCCGGCCCATCATCACGGACAGGACGATTGTCGCGAACAAACCTGATATCGTGTTGATGGACCGGGCACAGTCGCGGGTATTTTTGGTCGACATTACCATTCCATATGACGAGAACCTCGTGAAAGCCGAAACAGATAAGAAGACGAAGTATCTGGACCTGGCTCACGAGGTGACCGACATGTGGGGTGGTGTGCCGACCGAAATTATCCCGATAGTCGTGTCTGCGAATGGGTTGATCCCAGTCAGCCTCTCTAAACATCTGAGGCGACTGGGACTGCGGGACGGATCGCTCCAGGCTCAAATGCAGAAGGCGGTGCTCCTCGATACCGCCCGCATCGTCCGCCGGTTTCTCTCCCTTTCGCCCTAACCCTCGGCCGTTTGGTCTCCCCTGCCGAGGGCTTCCGTCTGGTTGGGTCCTATTTATATATGTATTATATAAAATATTTATATATATATGTTTATTTTTATCCATAATATTTATTTTATATATGCAATATGTATCTATATTTTTATTTTTATTTATAAACCCAACCAGACGAGAAAACAAATGAATATCCCCCTATAATAATAATACTTTATTTGCCATAACCCAAAAACAAAAAGAAAATTACATAGAAAATATGAACAAAAAAAGATATAAAACAAACTATGATACACAAAATAAACTATATAAATAACATTTTGGCAAAAAGGTAATAAGCTCAGCGATTTCTCAGTGCTGATTTTCAGCTTATCCCTTAGTAAAGGTTTACATCATCATTTACAAAATATATTAGCGGTAGTTGGCATATTTTGTTCAAGTTGAATTTGATAATGTAATGTAATAAAGATAATAACACAAATGAAGAAAACTCAAAAGAAGATTTAGACAAGAGAACAAAAAAAAAATCAAGTACAGTGAAAAATACGATGTGAAATAAAAATTGATAAATTAAAATTAAAAGATAGTCACTAAGTTAAAATTAGTATTTAATATTGATTTTGATTTTGAACCGAACACAACTTTTGTTTATTGAACAAGGAGAGCCTGAGTTGTTTTGTAAAATTATAATTCGACACACACATTCGTAGTGGTTGTGGTAAATCATTCCATATGTTTGACGCGCTAAATCGGAAACTACTTTTGAAACCCGCCCCTTTATGTTTCGGTAACTCAACTGCATTATTCTGACTACCACGGGTATGCTTGCATTGCTTGAAAGTAAACTTGTTGAACAGGTAATCTGGTTTCTTTTCCATCATTACCTTGCGAACCATATTGGCAAAATGTAGTTCCCTGCGTGCGGCCACTGCCCTGATACCCTCTGTATAGAGGAGGCCTTTGCCCAGCAGTGGGAAATGTATAGGCCGTTACTTTACTTTACAATACAGGTAAAAGTCTTATTGTAGCCTACGTGAGTATCAACAGTATTAACTCCACACATTGAACAATGCTATTTAAAAACAGCTGCTTTAAAGTCGCCCTCTCACATATGTTACCATTTAGCTAATTGACGTCTTTGCGTCGGGAGTTAAATTATACATTTTCTTTGACTTCATTTTAACCGTTTAAGAATAAAAATTTATGAACTATTGATGATTTCAAAATTCTTACACTAAAAGTGCGGTTTGCATATGCTACTATTTTGAAACTTAAAAAAAAAAATTAACTTTCTGTTACGGCAATTTAAAGTTGTTTGTTTTGTATAACTGATGTAACGCTCTCAGTATACACTAAAGTTAAAAGTTACAGACTAAGAAGTTACTAAGAAGTTACTAAAGTTACAGACTACTAAAGTTTCATCGAACGCAGAACCGCTGGGCTAGCCAGAACCCACGGGTTTGAATTTTTAAAGTCCAATATAATGTGGCAAAACGTTTTTTGACATTTAGTTTCCCGCCTTTTTCGCTTAGTTTTTTCTCCCTTTGTTGGGGCAAACGCAATTCAGATGAATAATAATTAAAAATAAATTAACTTTGGTGTTTAAATTAATGAAGGCTCGTGTTAATTAAGATATCAGTCGGCCGTGGATCCCAGGTGATGTTGTCACGAATGATCTCATCCGACTAATGGGTGTTAGCTCAGTGCCAATTGAGCTTTTAATTTGTCAAGCGTTCATCTCATTTTGATAACGTCACCCAAGATTTCTCTCTAACGGTGGTTTGTTTTAGAATTATTTATAAGAGAACTCTTTGATGCCACATCCACGCGATTATGAGCTGTTCGCCTGTATACTGAAATACTCTTTCATTTTCAGTTGTTAGTTTTTTTTAATTATGCCCCATCGCTAAATGTAACGTATATAAATTATGTAATGATGATGACTCCGTTGCGCAATTGCTAAGCTTCGGCGCTGCCCGTCGAGGGCCGAGGGTTCGATTCCCACCGACTATTTGTGAACTACAGTCAATTGTTTCGAATCCGATTGTCCACGTGAAATTTATGTTTCCACCAGCGACCCTCCCCGGTTTCGCACGGTCGCAATGTATTATACATATAAACCTTCCTCTTGAAGCACTCTATCTAGTAAAAAAAAAAAACCGCATCAAAATCCCTTGCGTAGTTTTAAAGATCTAAGCATAGCATACATAGGAACAGACAGACAGCGGGGCGAATTTGTTTTATAATATGTAGTGAAAACGTTCTTACAACACAGAATAGTGCGATGCTACAGGAAGGGCTGTGTTGATAAAAAACAAACAATCTATACAGATAAATAAAATTAGAGTGTCTGTTTGTAATATTAAATTACCGCTTTTTACTAAATGCATATGGTACATATAGCAAAATAACATTTTTTTTACAATTTTTGTCTGTCTGTCTGTTTGTTCCGCCTAATCTCTGAAACGGCTGGACCGGTTTTTAGGGGACTTTCACTGGCAGATAGTGTAATAAGGAGTAACTTAGGCTACTTTCATTTTAGATGTTCTTTTTATTTTAAATTCCACGCGGACGAAGTCGCGGGCACAGCTGGTAATAAATAATATACTAATGTTCCCATTTCAGGTGCACGAGAGAACTCTATTGACAGACGTCCTCATGGGCTTACTGAAGAAAGTCGCTAAGGTAAGTCCATACATTTGTCGCCTTAATAAAGAACCATACCAAATGTTTATGCGGCTCTGACGCTAGTCATCGTAGAAGTTAATTAACCAGCTGTGAAGTTGCTTTTCAAATGTTATTTGAGTTGTCAAAAGGATGGTTAAACTCTTAATGATCGGAATGATCGATTCAAAGAGTTTAACCATCCTTTTGGCAACTCAAATGACATTTAAAAATCCATTTGACAGCTGATTAGTTAACTTCTACGATGATCGGTGTTTCAGAAACCGGGCGTTAGGGTTTCGTATTAACTTGATTGTGACAAGTGTACGATAATGCCATCTCATCATCGTAAACTTTTTATAAGAGACGGTTAAAAGATAGTATTTTTTTTAACATCATCTTTATTATACTTGACAAAAACAATAAATTATTAGGAAAAATTTAATTATTATACATAAAATTTTTATAAATTAAATTATTCATCACAGCGACGACCGTAACATTTAATATTGAGTTTGAATCATTGAATATGATGTGGAACTATGGAAGTGTTGCGTGCAAGAGAAAACAACTTTTTTAATTGTAGCTCACAGAAGACCGGCGTAAAATGGAAGTATAATACTTTCGCGTTTCGTCTGGCTGAGTGAGTTAGCCTGAGCTCAATTTTCAAAAAGGTTGTCAACGCATCTGCAACCCTCGGGTGTGGCAGATGTCCATGGGCGGCGGTATTAACATCAGGTGAACCGTCGGCTCGTTTGGCAACTTTTGACATAAAAAAATAAATTGTAGCCCTCCCTTGCCTCCCCAATTAGAAACGGAGGAACCTCAAGCTGGTGGTATCTTCGGCCACCATGGACGCGGAGTTCCTGAGGGACTTCTTCGATCTCGCGGACAAAAAGGGGCCCGACAGGGGACGCACCTCGGCGATAATGTCGGTGCAGGGCCGGATGCATCCGATCGACGTGTTTTACGTTGAAGGTGTGTTATGTTCTGTTTTGGTGTCTACTTTAAGTTTCCCCAATCTCAGCACATATGTCGTAACATGAAACGCGTATAAATGAAACTAATTTTACGGATTCATCGCGTTTATTTTGTTTTTTAAACGGTTTTATTTAGCTCGACCCGTACGGAATTTGTTTATTTATTTGGGTCAAAATTAGAAATTGAAATTTAAGCACCTTCCCGTTGTCAGATCGATCTGAAATTTGGTACACACATTTAATTTAGATGACAATACAATATTGTAGTTTTCAGTGCACATAAAATAAAACCGTTTAACTTTAAAGTTTTTAAACGGTTTTATTTTGTTTAAATTCGCGACGTTTCGAACCCTTTACAGCGTCCATGGTCACGGGACAGACTGAGGTCTGAGGTGTTAGACGTCTGATTGTCGCAGTTAACCCGGGCTACCGTCAGTTTTAGAATTATCAATTTTGTGTCCGATCTATGCGGAGGGAGCTAATAGTAATCGCGTGAATACAAGAAATCATTATGAGAAGTAGGTAAAGGAAAGTTACGATGGTAGGGCCACGAAACAGTGCTCGCTGTTGCACGAACGGGCAGGTCCGTCCGGGTTGGTGCCGCGACCTCACAGAAGACCGGCGAGAAGTAGAAGTGTTGCACTTCTGCGTTTCGTCTGGCGAGTGAGGTAGCCGGGGCCCACATTATTAAAGGTGGCATAGCATCTGCAACCCCACGGGTGTTGCAAATGTCCACGGGCAGGCGGTTATCGCTTAACATCAGGTGAACCGCCAGCTTGTTTGCCACTTTCTCATATAAAAAAAAAGTTTAAAGGAAGAACATAAGATGACGCACGTTGAAGTTCCTTTTAGTGTTTTGTTGAAGTATCTATAATTTAAATAGCTTGCCCTCGCAACTTCGTCCGCGCCAAATCTACAGTGTCCATACCACGGTCTTTTCAAACCATACATTTGATTTTTGTATGGAGCTTGCTCATTCCGTTTAGTTCTTTCCCGCGAAAACAGATGGCGTTGTTTTAAATGCAAAACCATTTTAACTATGGTACCATTAAATAAAAAAAAAATATTTTAAGTTAAAATAAATTAATAAAGAAAAAATAATGTATGGTTCTTATTTTGGAGAAAATCGAATTTTATTCAATAAAATTTTTAAGTAAAATGTTATTTTAAACACCGTTTAAAAATAAATTAAAAAAAAAAATATTTTAAGTACGCAACGTTATTAACGTTACATACTTAAAATAATATTAAGTTAAGATAAATTTTATTAAAAAAAAAGTAATTAAAATTTATGAATTGTATTTATTTATTTTCTATAATGATATCAATACAGAGCATTTATATCTAATTAATGTTAGTTCTTTAGGGTCGAATTGTGAAAAAGATAATTGTAAAAATTTTCAATCTATGGAATTCTTAATACAAAATACTACAGAAATTAATGAAATCATAGAAATAAATTTTGATGATATGCAATATGAAATTGTCAATTTTGAAGAAAAAAAGGGTAATGTTAGAATTTACAGTCAACTCAATTATGTTGCCGGTTACTTATTGAAACAAGTAAAAGTAAAAGTTTTTAAAAATTGCATTAACTGTAAAGAAATTTTATTTAATAGAGATAGGGACGAATATATAAAATTAAGGGAATTTTCGTCACGTAGGGCACTCGCTTATCCTTCCGAATATATCGTGCGGATGTTTTCCGCGATACAAGATGTGGCTATCTTTATTTTAGAAAATAAGAGGGATATGCCACAAATAAAAATCTAAATGAAAACAATTATGTACATTGTCATCGATTTTAAATTTTTGACTTGCCCACACCATAATAAAGATTTAATAGACTTTTTCATTGAAGTTTCTTCCAGATTTTTTATTTTCAACTGGTGCCGTGACGTAAATAATTTAATAAACGGCACCAGACTTGATATTATTGATAACAAAGACTTCATAAAAAAAGTAGCCAGTGAATATTATAAAAAACGCAATAAAGTTCGCAAAACATATTTCTGTGTTTTATTTAAAGCAAGCTTGTACCCAATTACAGTTTTCTATACAAAGTTATCAAATATTAATTAAATAAATTTTATATACACGACATAGAAAACTGTAGTTGAATACAGCTCTCAACTATAAAAACAAAATGTTTAATTAGTATAGGTTATATACATCTGAACTTTTAGTTAATTCCCGCGTCAAAAGATGGCGCTGTCTCACGAGGAGACTGATTACTCTATATTAATAATGTACTCTTTGGTCCATACGTTTGGCATTTTAACATAGCGCCATCTATTAGATACTTTCTCAATACAGCCGAAAAATTTACCTTACACCGCCATCTGTTAGAATCTTATGGAACTCACAGATACTCAATGACTCATTATAAACAAATTAATGATTTGTAATAAAAAATATTGCGACTATAAATTGAGATATAAACTATCCTATCTCTCAAGTTGGATCAAACTGCACTTAGCGTACAAAATTTGATGAAAATCGGTTAAGTAGTTTCGGAGGCCATCGTGGACAAACAACGTTACACGTAATTTATATATATTAAGATTTCAAATTAAAACGCTAATCTCAGCGTTAAATATGTAACTTAAATTAATTAAGTGAAGGGTAAAAGAAGAAGAATTGCTTAAAAATGTAGTAAAAACAAAACTTGTATAAGTCGATTTAGCTAGCTAGCTGGCTGGCGCGCCTGGACGCGTGGCAACTAAGGCGCGGGTTCGAATCCCGGGATCTTTCAAAGATGTTTGTGGCGGTTTTGTTGTAACATTTAAATTAGTATACTTATGCACATTGTGTGGCGTCCATTTCAGAGCCCGTCCCGGACTACGTGAAGGCGACGGTCGAAACAGTTATTAAGATACACGAGAACGAACCGTTCGGCGATATACTAGCGTTCCTCACTTCGCAGGTGAGGTCTCTCCAAAGTGAGGAAGGAAGTAAGGAAGGAAGCACGTGATTTATTAAAGTTTGATGACTCAGTTGCGCAGTCGCCGAGGTATCGGCTTCGGCGTCGGGGGTCGTGGGTTCGATTCCCATACGGGACAACTGTGTGACCCACAGATTGTTGTTTCGCATCCCAGATCCCGTTTGTCCGCGTGAAATTTATGTTTGTGAAACGTCCTTACAACACAGGATAATGTTATAAAAATCTGAAGATAGAATAAGATCGAGTGCAGAATTCTAAAGAAAGAAAGCATTTGTGATATTTCGAATGAATCATAATGATGTATTGGAAAAGGTAGAAAGGAAGTATATTTTGAAAAAGTGTCAGACGCCATCTATCATTTAAAAAAGTTGGCATTTCGATAAAAAGGAAAAAAAAAACAGGTGATGTGTTTTGTAATAAAAACAACGGGTAATTTTGTTGTAAAATCTATTTGGGTCGATTACAATATGAGTAAGGGATTAATCGTGTTTTAAATGTGTTTTTGGGTTTGACTTTTAAAAGTGTTTGTGTACAAGAATGGTAAAATATCAATTCAAATTAGAATAAGCTCAAACCTAATTAAAAACTAGTATGTGGGTTTATTTTAGTGTAGGTAATCTAAGTGCGTTTCGGGTTCGCGAATTGTTCCTTACCATTGTCTAAAAAAACCGGCAAAAAAATCATGTCTGTTGTATGCGAGCGCCATTTAAATATTGTTCTATTCTGTTTTATAGCTGTGAAAATTTCAACTTTTTATCTGTCACGGTTCATAAGATACAGCCTGGTGACAGACGGACAGACAGACAGCGGAGTCTTAGTAATAGTGTCCATACGTCATATTTAAGGGAAAAATAATAATGTATGTACTTATTTACGCACGTAAGTAATTTTTACTTTGGCGTAATTAAGAAAATAATTTACAAGGAAGATATCATCGTAAATTTTACTGTTACGCCATCTCTTGGAAACTATATGAAATGTTTCTAAATAAAACTTTTCAGAATCAACAAGTGTAGGTATCGTCTAATAGATGGCGCTCAATGTTGATGTATAAGGCGTGCAACATCGTAACATACTAAAAATACATTAAAATTCACTAAATCTGTTATTTCAAACGCGCCAAAAAGGTAACGTTTAACTTTAAAAGAAAACTTGTATGTAAAACTCATTTGTCGCCGTGTACAAATAAAGAGAAGTCTTTTCTTGGTAAATGTATATCTGTCTGTCCGTCTGTCGCCAGACTGTATCTCACGAATCGTGATAGTTAGACAGTTGAAATTTCCACAGATTATATATTTCTGTTGCCGCTATAACAAGAAATACTAAAAAAAAAAAATGTGGCGTAATTAAGAAAATAATTTACAAGGAAGATATCATCGTAAATTTTACTGTTACGCCATCTCTTGGAAACTATATGAAATGTTTCTAAATAAAACTTTTCAGAATCAACAAGTGTAGGTATCGTCTAATAGATGGCGCTCAATTTTGATGTATAAGGCGTGCAACATCGTAACATACTAAAAATACATTAAAATTCACTAAATCTGTTATTTCAAACGCGCCAAAAAGGTAACGTTTAACTTTAAAAGAAAACTTGTATGTAAAACTCATTTGTCGCCGTGTACAAATAAAGAGAAGTCTTTTCTTGGTAAATGTATATCTGTCTGTCCGTCTGTCACCAGACTGTATCTCACGAATCGTGATAGTTAGACAGTTGAAATTTCCACAGATTATATATTTCTGTTGCCGCTATAACAAGAAATACTAAAAAAAAAAAACAATAAATCATGTTTAAGTGAGACTCCCATACGAAATTGTGCCGTTTTCGTAGATGCGGAACCCTCCGTGCTTGTATTCACACCGCAGTTGACCGGTTTTCCAAAAAACCCGATATTTCCTTCTTAATCTCGCCTTCCGCCCCGTCAGGAGGAAATCCTGTCGGCTCTGGAGCCGCTCCGAGAATACGCGGAGAAGAACAACACCGATAATAAGACGAGGAGGCAGTTCCCCAGTGGAGTGGGATCAGCAGACATGGTAGTGCTGCCCATGTATGGGAGTCTACCTCACTACCAGCAGGTCGGTGGGCTTTGTTCCTTCATCTGAAAGTCCACAAATTAGGGATACCGGCAGACCGTCATCCCTAATTTGTGGACTTTTTTAAGTGGACTATAATGATAGTAAACATGTTATCGTCAAATTATTGGTTTAAATGGCTATCGCACAAATGAGCGATAGCCCTTTTGACCAAACATTTGACGTTTCAACAAGTGTTGAGTCTTTCAAGTGGTCTGTAATCCAAATCAAAGTCTGTTGATGTTTCTATGTAAGTATTTATTTTATTATCTAATATTTACAGGATTAAATCTATCTAAAATTACATATAATCTAATAAACCTAATCCAAGCGGCATGGTGCCAAGAACGCTAGCTACATTTCCTCGCTGAATAGTTATGTTTAACCTTTGTGCGAGAAAAGAATCAGCTCTCTTGTTAAACCTAGGACATAGAATTATTTTTTGATGTTCGGTCCAAAGTTTCAACAGTAAATGGCACAAATACATAATCTGAACATAAATACTCATATTTACGCCATTTACTTACTTCAGCTGCCCCCCTGACCGAAGTACGCCTTAGATGAGAGAAGTGTCTAAACAAGTGGCCCAATCAAGGGCTTTGCCTCTATACAAAGGCAAAAACCTCTCTGTTCCTATTGAATAAATACATTCGTCTTTGAACTTGTGGGGCACAACCTGCCACCGGTTGCCATTTTACCATGCCATTTTGCCACCGGCTCCCTCTTCGTCATCGCTCCTTGGCAAATGGCAAATCAGGATTCAAAGCCAAAGTCAAAGTATATTTCTTCAATATAGGCCTAACTTAATCTCTTATTGAACGTCAACAAAAAATCTACCACCGGTTCACTAAACTAGACGTGCACAGAGAAGAACCGGCAAGAAACTCTGCGGTCTTGCTCTCTGCTCTGATGATGATGTTTGGAAATGACTCTTGTCATTTCCAAACATCCTTGTCCTCAATGTATTCTTGGACATTATAGTAGGCCCTTGCCATTAAAGCCAGTTCGGCTTCCGGCGGGGGCGTTCGACAATAGATGCAGTCATGCGCGTCCGTTCCTTGTCGGAGCAGGCGGCTTCCCGGGGTGGCGTGGCATTGGCTATAAGTTTGGATATAGTCAATGCCTTTAATTCCCTAACCTGGGTCGCCATTAGGGAGTTACTTGCATACCATCATGTGCCTCCCTATCTGCAAGGCGTTATCACAGACTATCTGCGGGACAGGTATATTCTATACACGGACAAAGACGGGAGAAAGATCCGGAGGAAGGAGCGGAGTATCCTGGTAAGATGTCGGCGGTTTGAGAGGGGTACATTTGGATAGCCGCTAAAGGGCTTTTGAAAACATTTCAGCTGCCTAATCCATTGCGGCGTTCCACAGGGGTCTGTGCTTGGCCCGTTACTGTGGAATATGCGCCTCGTCACGGCGCTCCAAACGGAAATGGTGCTCCCCTGCCAGAAATGGGGCCTCAGGGGTCACGATTGGGGTAAATCCCTTAATTGCCCAGTAAAGACCCTACAGGAGGTGCTAGGGCTGGCGTAATACCGTCCCCGGAAGGGCTATCATAGGAAAGCTAAGGAGGGGCCGCGGTAGTGTTCCGAATGGAGATCCCGTGACCCCTCATCAGCAGATGGCGACCACCATGGGGTTTTAGTCGGTGCGAGTCCGACATAACTTGGTTCTTAGCGGAGAGCCAAGTATCCATAATGGATTTCCCCATGTAGAAAAAAAAAAAGGCCCTTGCCATTAAGGTAGCTCTTACAAATTGTTTGAAATTGTTTATACTTAGCTGTTTGTGGATGTCACCTATTTTATTATAAATCATTATGGTATTCGAGTGAACATCCATTTGTAACGTCGCCAGATCAAGGTGTTCCAGACCGCTGGCAGGAATGAACGGAAGGTGGTCCTGGCCACCAACATAGCGGAGACCAGCATCACCATTCCGGGGGTGGTGTACGGTGAGTCTATTACAATCACAATCAGAACCACTCCAGCAAACTCTACGACAGCAACTGGCGAATAACTTGTAAAAGTAAAAAAAGTAAAATAACAGCCTATACATGTCCCCCTGCTGGGCAAAGGCCTCCTCTATACAGAGGGTATCAGGGCATAGTCCACCACGCGGCTCCACTGCGGATTGGCGGACTTCACGTATTTTCGAAATATATTTTTTTTTGCTATTATTCCGAAAATATGCAGGTTTCCTCACGATGTTTTCTTTCACCGCGGAGCACGTGATAAGTCAGCACTTAAAGTTAAAAACTTCATTGATGCCGGCACCGGGGATCGAACTCGGGTTGCTCGAGTATATTGAAGTAAAGGCGAGCGCCCGGACACTGAGCTATTACGGCTCTAATACAACTTGTACATGTACATTTTAACAATTGTATTTTACTATCTTCTTTAGAAAACTGCACTAAAAATATAGCTAGGCGAAACCGTTTTACGGATTTGATCGCGTTTTTAACCGACTCCTAAGGAGGAGGTTATATAATTAGGATGTTTATATTTTTTTCAATTTCCGACGTCTTGTCGATATTAAGAAGTGTGAACCGTGAACGCTGGAAAGGGTTTGAAACGTCGGGAATTTAAAAATCTAATTGATAGCGATAAAATTTGTAAAATAGTTTAATGAAAAAATTATAATATAAATTAAACATTAATTGTTATGAATAATATTCGCGTAAAAACAAGAAATCGATGTAATCCTAATTGATTTCTTGATTTTTACGCGAATAAATTGTACATTGCGAAATGAAACTGTTTTTACGAATTTTATCGCGCCTGTCCCGTGACCATGAACGCTGGAAAGTGTTCGAAACTTCGGCACTTTAAAAATCTAACTAAACGCGATAAAATTCGTGATTCAGAGCATTTCAGATTGGTTGATGTTTGGACCGAATACTAAATGCCTCAACGACCCAAATTATTTATTTATTAATACACATACAGACAAACATATTTAAAATAAAAAAAGTTCGTGCGTGTAAACCTTTACGCGCGATTGAAGTAAAACTTCTTTGGCGTTGACGGCATATGTCACTGAAATGATTAAATATTAAGTAACGTCATAAGTATATATGACAATATGACATACATATGTCATATTGTCATATATACCTTCCGTCAGAAAAATCTGAGTTACTTCCTAGTCGCGCTTAAAGAAGTTTTACTTCAAAATTCATTAAAAAAAACAGTGTAAAGGCACTGCTTATGTGGAATTCCTTCCAGCAAGCCTGTAGGTAGGAAATCACTGGTTCGACTGCAATTGGTGTAAAGATCATAAAATAAAAGGAAATTAAACTAAAAAAAAAACGGCCAAGTCTGAGTCGGACTCACGCACGTCAAAAAAACATGTCTGTTGTATGGAAGCCCCGCTTAAATATTTTTTTATTATGTTTTTTAGTATTTGTTGTTTTAGCGGAAATAGAAATACATCATCTATGAAAATTTCTACTAACACTAATTCTAAAACTCACGTTTCATGAGATCCCGTCTGATGACAGGCGGACAGACAATCAGACAGATGTTTTACCATTTGCGTACGGAACCCTAAAAATACGTAAATTGTGACGTATTTTTTTTTTTACTTTTTCACATTTTTTTATATTCTATATTGATAGACCCGGATACATGATAACATATGTATCCAGCATATCTGTAAAAAATCATTATTATTAGAGATGGGTCGTATCGCTTTTTCTGAGTACCGTATCTTAATCGGATTTCGATTTCAAATATCAGATTTCGAAACTATGTATTTTAATATCTAGATATTTTACGGTCCCGTATCCACCTTGAATTCATAAAAAAAAAGTGAGTGACAATATTTTTCTTAATTATTAACATTCAATATTATAGTTTAGGGCGGAAGAATTTAAAATATAAGCCTTGGCCTGACGTCCACCAATGCAGCACGGAATTATTAAATTATATTTTTCTTTTTCGTTTTGTGTAGTTTTATTTATTTTCAAAAATGCGAATAAAATTGAACTCGTACAAATTTTTCTTTCTTAATTTAGGAAGAAAATTCCTTAGTTGGCATCCCTTAATATTACGTGCTTAAGTATCAATGCACTCCAGGTCAAGGCTAAACAAAATTTAAAGACATCGTTAATACCATGATTCGTGTTTAAATTAAACAGAGTTTTTTCCATGCTTTTAAAATTCAAAATTGCTTAACTAATTCATAAAATCTGTTCAAAAATGTGATATTGTGCATTGTTTGCCGTACCCCTCTAACTAGTGTAATATTTGTATCTCACGCGCTTTGTCGCTCGCTACGGCTCAAGGCTAATGCTAAATAAAAGAATTAAAAGATATCGCATTCGTTGATCCCATGCTCAGTATTTAAATGAAACGGATCTTATTCGCATGCCGTTAAGATTAAAAATAACTTAACTTATTCATAAAATCTGTTTAAAAATCTCATATTGTTGCCGTACTACTCTAACTAATGTAAAATTACTATCTCACGCGCTTTGTCGCTCGAAATCTGTTTAAAAATCTGATATTGTTGCCGTACTGCTCTAACTAGTGAATATTTGTATCTCACGCGCTTTGTCTAAAATCTGATATTGTGGCAAACGCGTATGGCCGTATGATATCGCAATTCGTGTTGGTATAGCGAGTGTGCGAGTGTTCGGTACATCAGATTTCGGAAATATCAGATATTGTAAAATACATAGATTTTGAAAGAGCGAGTAAGAGATGTTCAGATATTGTACCAATATATGGTTTTCATATCTGATACGATTTGCATCGCCCACTTCTAATTATTATCATTATAACTATAAATGTAGTTTTTCATTAAAATTCCGTTCCAGTGATCGACTGCGGGTTCCACAAGTTGCCGCACTTCGACCCGTCCGTCGGCGTCGAGTCGGTTTGCGTCACGTCGATCTCTAAGAACAACGCCGCCCAGCGAGCGGGCAGGGCGGGCAGAACTAGTCGCGGCAAGTGCTTCAGGTACGAACTTGTTACCGGGACTACCTATTGGTGGAGTAAGCTCTTATGCCCGGAAAAAAGGAATCAAACGCTGGTTTAGTTTTCGGTGGTGAAAAAAAAAAAAAAAAACAATAAGTGCTATTTTCGACCGAAACGAAACAAGAGTTATAACGAAAAAAAAAAACGAAGGAAAAGTTCGAACGAAACAAGCACTTAGTTTTTTTTTTTTTTTTGGTGTCCCTTAAAGTTAGTAGGTAATCGATGGTGAAAACGATGGCGAAAATTAGCATTGAAAGACGTTAAATTTCAAATAGCAATAGCGACATCTCTTGTTCTAGTTAACGTTGTAAGACGATATAAAATGAAATTGTTTTTTTACCGCAAAGTAAATCTCTTGCAAAGTGCCGAACGAATGTCGTGGGTTCGATTCCCGCATTGGCGTTAAAATTTTTGTCCGCTTTTTCTACAAATTAAAGTCAAACTTCTTACTCTGTGTGTATGTATGTAACTGGTTCTGGAGGTTGATTGGAAGAATTTCGGCTTTTATTTGTATTTTTTATTTATTTTAATTTTTTACTTGTACAGGCGTACGAATGGCGCTACAGATTATTGTGAAAATCCATTTATTCTATTTAGGTTATTATTAGGCTCTTGTGGGGTGGGTACCTTATGGTTAAAGTTAAATTAATTCTTTTTTATGCCTTTTTCATACAGTTATGAGCATTGTCCAGAGTATTAAAAAACGACATTCATTAAAGTTTAAGGAACTTGTTGTTCATTCAAACATGCAGAGTTTGCATATTGCATGTTCATAACAGTTTACACTACATATTGTGTATATATTAATGTTTCCATTGTAGATTGTAAATTTCCCGCGTGTTTACACTGTATATTGAACGTTCAAGTTTGTTAACACTAGATATTGTACTTTTTTCTTTATTTAAGAAGGTGGCAACCAATTTTAATTGGTAACCGCCGATCATTGACATTTGCAACACCCGTATTGTTGCAAATGCGAGTATAACACTTCCACGTTACGCCGGTTTTCCTTGGCACTTAACCCGACGGACGTGGCAGTTTTTGCAACAGAGAACACAGAAGACTGCTGCGTGGCCCTAACATAATGAGAATATGACGTTAAAAGATGTTTACTGTGTAGATTGCACCACCCTTGATGTTTACACCTCAGATTGTACACGGAGTCCGAATACGACAAACTGGCGGCCAGTGTACCGCCAGAGATGTGCCGCAGCGACCTCTCTGGGATGCTTCTGCAGCTAAAAGCCCTCGGGATACACAACCTGCTCAGGTATTTCCATGCGTACGCTTATTTTAAATCTCGTAATTTTTTTTTGTAACGTGAAAAGTTGTTAATCGAGCAGGCTGTTCACCTGATGTTAAGTGAATACCGTCGCCTACGAACGTTTACAACACCCAAAGGATTGCAGATGTGTTCACAACATTTAAAAAAGTGGGTTTCGGTTACCTCACTCACCATACTAAACGCAGAAGTATAACACTTCCACTTCACGCCGTATATTGAAGCAGAATTTACCTTAATTCTTTATCTCCTTTTTTTATTCTTTATTTTTAAAGGTTCTTGCGTAGTGTTCATGTCAATCCCATAGTGCCCTCATCTCATGTTATTTACAGCTATGACTTATTTATTATATTTATTTTAAAGATATAGCCATAAATTGATACAATAATTTGGCATTGTCACCATTTGGGTGACATATCAAAGAATGAAAAAGGCCTACATTATATTTGTTTTTAGGTCTCACCTTGATTCATTCCTGTTCAGATGGTCTGGGTTTTCTTATAACTAGACTGTTCTAAACTCATTTGAACCTTAATCCGTTGCGTTAAGGTTCACTTTCCCCACCGCGCCGCCGGCGAAATGCCTCCTGGCCGGTCTGGAGTCATTATACGCTTTGGGGGCGTTGGCATCTGACGGGAATCTGACTCCGAAAGGGGCGAAGCTAGCCGAAATGCCTCTAAAGCCCACAGTGGCCGCGATGCTCTACAATAGCGGTAAGCTATCGTTCATTCGTTCGTCTTGTTGTATGTTCATAACTGTTTACACTACATATTGTGTATGTATGTGTATATATATATATATATATAAAAATCGATCTAGCTAGGTTTTATTTTTAGAAAATGTCCTTTTATCCCTGTTTTCAGGAAATGAAAAATATCATCGAACATGGCGTTAATTTCGCCGCAAAAAAATTGTTATAGTAGCTCGGTCGGCAATCGGGCGGCCCCAAAACAGACGGCCGCGGTTCGTATCACGATCATTTACACACTTATCTTTTTTACTTTTTTTTTCTATACCAGATCATTTTCTTTATTTTTTATTTCCAAAATACATAATTTAGAAAAAAAACCCGAGCAAAGCTCGGTCCTCCGAATACTTAATGTTTACACGGCAGATTGGTTCATTGGTTCGGTAGTAACTACCACTTTTATATCATATATAGATCGATATATCTGTAAGCTATCGTTCATTCGTTTAATAATTCATGTCGTTGCAAGCTACCGTCCATTCGTTAATGTTGTTGTATGTTCATAACTATTTACACTACATATTATGTATGTATTAATATTTACACTGCAGATTGCAAGTTCGTAGCGTGTTTACACTGTTTATTGCACGCTCAGTCATTCTTTGGTTCGTTAGCAATTTGCACTCCCATCTCATAAATAGACCGACATATCTGTACGATATCGTTCATTCGTTCTTGTGTTTTCATTCATAGTTTCATTGGCAACTCGCACTTTCATCTCATAAATTGACCGATATATCCGTAAAACTCGTTTGCCCGTGAGTTTCGTTGCGTTTGAATACGGGACGAACTCAAAATGTTTCATTTTCAATTCTGATCTGTTTAAATTCTGCCAAAGCAATTTTTAAAGTCCATGACATAGAAATACTTATTTGAGTTACACTTTTCTCATAAATGATAGGCCTGTGATAGCTCAGTGTCTGGTCTCGCTCGCTCTAATTCAAAATACCCGAGCAACCCGAGTTCGATCCCCGGTGCCGGCACCAATGAAATTGTTAATTTTAAGTGCTGAATTATCACGTGCTCAGCGGCGAAGGAAAACGTCTTGAGGAAACCTGCATATTTTCGAAATAATGAAAAAAATGCCTCAAGATATGCGAAGTACGCAATCCGTATTGGGGTACATGGTGGATGATGCTGTAATATCCTATGTATGGAGGAGGCCTTTGCCCAGCACTGGGACAGATGTAAGCTGTAAATGTAACTGACGACCCGATTGGCGTGGGGAGTAGTGACCCCGCCTCTTGCGCCAGAGAGTGTGGGTTCGATCCCCACTACTGGAAAAATATTGTGTGATGAACATAGTGTTTCTCCAGTGTCTGGGTGTTTATACATGTATAATATGTATTTAGTTACAAAAGAAAAGTACGTTTATGTATGTTTATCAGTTTATCTAGTACCCATAGTACAGGCTTTGCTTAGTTTGGGACTGGAGAACGTTGTGTAAAACATGTGTCCGATATTATTATTATTATTAAAAAAAAAAAAAAAAAAACCTTTACCCTCATTCCGTCCATTCAGCGCCGTTCGTTCCCATTCGTTCATTCGCAGCGGAGTACGGCTGCATAGAGGAGATGCTCTCGATAGCGGCGATGATGCACGTGGACGGCGTGTTCAGGAAGCCCAGCGGCGGCAGGGAGGGGCAGAGGTCCAGAATCGCCAGACGGAACAACTTCGAGGTGACTGTTCCGAGTTAATCCTCTTAGGCGTCTAGGCCACAGCAGAGGGCTGATCTTCAGACACGGGTCGCATTTCGTTGCGCGAGTGAGAAAGGAGACGTGGAAAACTGAGATGCAATATAGTTAACAGCTAAATATTGACCCGATGACGGTCACGGGCAATGCTGTATGGGCACAGCTTTGGTTTATGACCACACTGACTTAGATGCACTACTCTCAGCTGTATTCGTCTTCTTCATATAATATTTGTTAAGGTAGTTTTATTTAGTTATACCAGAACCTTTATGAATCATATTGTGCGATATTCATCGAATGAAATTAGGTTTTGTCAAAACGTATTATCAACATTAATTGGTTTTTTTATATGTTCTTTTTTTTTTATAAAAAAATGCCTATACTTTAGGTTAATATTATACTGTGTAAGGACGATTCACAAACATAAATATCACGTGGACAAACACCCAGATGCGAGACAATTATCATTGGGTCACACAAATTGTTGTCTCGTGTGGGAATCGAACCCACGACGCTGAAGCCAATAAGATGGCAACTGCGCCACGGAGACATAAATCGTTATTTCTCTTATTGTTAAGTACAATTAAAGTTCAAGTTGAACCTTTACCAGGCGTTTTCAGTTACCGTTACGACATTGGCTGACTCGATTAACAATTAAATTTAATCCTCAGGTAGCGGAAGGAGACATAATAATGTATCTCAACGTATACGACGCCTATTCGAAAACGAAATCGCGAGACAAGAAAAGCTCGAAGGCGTGCAAAGACTGGTGCCAGAGGTTGTATATCAACCATCGCGTCATGGAAAAGGTATAAATTCTATATTGTATTCAATTTCGGATAAAATTCTCCTGAGATTAACTTAACATGTCTCTGTTTCGTCTTTTACAATTGTCTATCTTTATTTTATTATTTCTCATGTATCGGTTTATCTGGGTATCTCTTTCTCACACGTTTTTGTCTCTTTCAAATGTTTATTCGATAAAATTGTCCCGAGATCAAGTAAAGTGTCTCTTTTACGCTATGATAACCGTGTTTTTGATTTCACCGCCATCTTTTGGTGTTTTTACTAATAGATGGCGCTGGAATCAATTAACACGGTTAATAAAACGGTTAAAATTTAAACAATACTAACGCCCGGTTTCTGAAACACTGATCATCGTAGATGTCAACTAATCAGCTGTCAAATGGCCTTCAAATGTTATTTGAGTTGGCAAAAGGATGGTTAAACTTTCTGAAGTGATCATAGTGATCTTCTTAATGATCAGAATGTTCAATTTAAAGATTTTCAATCCTTTTGGCAACTCAAATAACATTTGAAAACCCATTTGACAGCTGATTAGTTGACATCTACGATGATCAGTGTTTCAGAAACCGGGCGTAAGTGTTAATGTAAAATTATCATTAACAATTAACGTCTGCGTTTTGTGGAATGTTTGCTAGGATGACAGAATGTCGTGCAAATCTTTCCTGCTTTTATGTGTGCACCTATAAATTTCACGTGAGCAAACAATTATTCGTCTGTGGCCAACACAAATGGTTGTCTCGTGTGGGAATCGAACCGAAGACCACCGGCTCCGAAGCCGATGCGTCGACAACTCCGCCACTAGTACACTCTACACAACAGTTTTACTAACGTTCAATTAATTTCACAGGCGTGCGAAATAAGACGGAGCCTGGAGAAACTTATAAAGGGCAACTTCGAAATGACGGACAAAGTTTTCGACGAACCCGATTTGGGTACAGGTACGGGAACGCGTTAATTATTTAAATGTGATTGGCGACAAGCTTATCGGCTGTTGCAAGGGTTAAGAGGCTTATGAAAATCTGTGCATGACAAGTTTGTCAGCCGTCGACAGGAAAATATGTTAACAGGTCTTCTTTTTTGTGACAAGCTTGTCAGTCGGCACAAGGTTAAATGTGTTAACAGTTAATCTCTTATGTGACGACAAGCTTGTCAGCTGTTACAAGGGTAAACTTGGTATTAGGTATTCTCTTATGAAGAGACGGACAGGGAGGTAATATTGCATCTCCATTCGGATATTTAAATATTGACCTTCGAACTCGTTAGCGAAATATTTTGGATTTTATTTTTAGTTTTTTGTGCTTGTGGTGTTCGCCTGTAAGTGTTAATCACATATCTAAGTAAATATGATTTAAGTTTCATCTTTTTAATGCTTAATAATGATATGTGAACGAACGTTGGTGAATCTGTTGAATAAATAAACTCTTCGGGAAATTGGTATAAGATCGCGCGGATGTCAACTTCCAGAAATATCTAGAATTTCTGGGTGGGTGACTGGTTTCATTTTATCTTGGAAAATACATTAAATATATTATAAATAATAAAAAGATAAATATAGTTGAATAGCATATTTAAAATGCTTAGAAAAGAAACGAAAAACCGGTCAAGTGCGAGTCGTACTCGTGCATGAAGAGTTCCGTACCATTATTTATAAAATCGACAAAAAAACATGTCCGTTGTATGGGAGCTCCTTTTAAAATTTTTTTTTCTGTTTTTAGTATTTGTTGTTGTTTTATCGACAACAGAAACACATCACCTGTGAAAATTTCAACTGTCTAACTATCACGGTTCATGAGATACAGTCAGATACGGACAGACATACAAACAGCGGAGTCTCATTAATAGGGACCCGTTTTACCCTTTGGGCACGGAACCCTAATTATGTGTGCATGCACAAGGTAGCAACAACCGCCATAAATAAACTACTATTGCCACCTTTTTGCCTACGTCTTTGATGGCGATTTCAACTGTCCAACTGTCACGTTTAACGGGATACAGTCGGGTGACAGATGGACCGACAGACAGATACACAGCGCAGCCTTAGTACAAAGCCCCGCCTAAGGAGTTTCATTTTTTTTTATGTGAAAGTTTGCCAAACGAGCAGACGGTTCACCTGATGGTAAGTGAATACCGCCGCCCATGGACATCTGCCACACCCGAGAACAGATGCGTTGACAACCTTTTGAAAATCGGGCTCCGGCCACCTCACTCACCAGACGAAACGCGAAAGTGTTATACTTCCACTTTACGCCGGTCTTCTGCGAGGTCCTGGTACTCACCCGGCCGAGACTGCTGCGTGGCTACCGCCGAAAAGCATTGAAACGTTCTGGCGCGGGACAGGCAAGTGCCGCCGCGTGATGAGGTGCGTCTCGTCCGGCCTGTTCGGGCAGGCCGCCAGGCGGACGGGCGCGGGCGAGTACTCGCACCTGCGCGGCGCCTCTCTGGGCGTGGCGCCCGACAGCTGTCTGCACGACGCCCCGCAGCCGCCCTGGTGAGGCTCCTATATATATATATATATATATATATATATATATATATATATATATATATATATATATTTTTTTTATTATCTTTATTTTTATGCGGTTTTTATCTATAAAGATACGCCAACCCCATCGTAACTCTTCAACAACTTACGAAATACGAATCCTTAAAAGTATATAGATTTGTTAAACCGGGAATTACTGTTTGTTGATTTGAACAAGACTGCAAATATTTTTTATTGTTTCACTTTTGGGAGGCTCCTATATCGTTCACTCGACATCCATTCACCGCTCTCTCAACGCTCATTCACCGTTCACCTATCGTCCACTTTTGCTTCATTTTTCTCTTACCGTTTACTCACTGTTGTCCTGCCGATCACTCACCGGCAACTTTCTCTTCACTCATTGTTTACCTGCCTTTCACATTTTTATGTGAGAAGGTGCGACTGTGTCTGCACAACGCCATCCAGCCCCCCTGGTGAGACGTTCGTCTATCGTTCACTCACCGTTAATTCATCGTTCACTTGCCCTTCACTCATTAATCTCTTGTATTTTATTTGTTGTTCACTTGTGCCATTTTATTCACCGTCCACTCCCACTTCACTCATGATTCTCGTACTGTTCACATTTTGTTCAATCTTTGTACAGTTTCTATTCGCTTTCTTTCTTTTTACTTATATATTGAAGACATGGTGATCAATTTTGACTCAGCGAAAATTGTCTAAAAATTATTCAATAATAAATAGGCTGTATAGAAAAATCCCTAGCCGTTTAATTATAAAAATAATAAAAAATAAATTTCAAGTATGGGGGTAAGTATGGGGGTATAGTTTCAATAGGGAGTCGATAACGTAGGCTGGTATTTTTTGTCAATATAATATACATTAAATATTTATTTCATTGTGTCTGTATATTTAAAACTAAATAGCAGCTCGCCTTGTATAGAACCGTATTGTATATAAATATCGATCCATCTGAAACATCGAAAGAAATTATCGGGGTTCATACTTCGAGAATCATGTTAGGGTTGGACGACCCCCCACTAGATGGAGTGACCTGTGCAAATGTGAGGGAAGTCGATGGATGCAGGTGGCTCAGGATCGTAATTCGTGGCAGTCTGTGGGGCCTTTATATGTTCAGCAGTGAACTCGAACAGGCTGAAATGATGATGATACTTCGAGATAAAACTAAGAATACCTAACGCATTTTCTTGAAAAACAAACTTTAGTGACTCGCTCTAGATACACAAAAGCGCCATCTACATCCTTAAACACACAGCTCTTTATCGACTCGCTAGAGATACACAAAAACTCCATCTATATTTTCATACACACATCTCACTCTGTGTTTATCGAACTCTGGACTTTGCCCAATTGCTTTTTTTTTATAACTGACTAGCTGTAGGCGTAACATTCAGGCAGAAATACAGATACACATGTATGTGTATATACATTCTAGCCTATGTATAAGCTATATCATTGGGAAGTTTCGTTAAAATCCATCCAGCAGTATTTGCGTGAAAGAGTAACAAACATCCATCGATACATACAAACTTTCGCGTTTATAATATTAGTAAGGATGTAACGCTTTCAGTCGTTACACTATTAAAGCTCCATCGAACTGTTATACGGTTTTCGGAATTTAGGTTTATAAAAAAAAGGTTTAAATCACAAAATGTATATATTTCTTATTAAAACACTTTGAAATATAATAGATCAGAATGGAATTCGAATGTCGGGCAAGTGTTACCGCTTTGGATGCTTGTGACGAACTGACTCTTCAATGCAGGGGGCATCTAGTGCTTATAAATATGCTGACAAGGGTTGGATTAGGTAGCAGGCTAGGTCAGGTCTATTATATACAGGGAGCATATATAACAGAACGCACTTCACATTACACATTACCAATTGCAGGGTGGTGTTCGCCGCTGTTCAAAGCTCGGGCGATAAGACCTACATGAGGGAGTTGATGGCCGTAGAGAAGGAGTGGCTGCTGGAAGTGGCACCGCACTACTACAGAGAAGCCTGATATTAAACGAAACTTTAAATGCGCTTGTTTTATTTATACTAATTTATTTGAACATAATCATCCTTAATTAACACCTCCTTTTAGAAAGAAACTGCCGTACTGTGAAGACGGAGAAGAATTTTTGGGCTGGATGAGCCACTGTTGGCCTTAGGGGCCTTAACAGATCCGACGGACTTGGAGTGAAGACGAAGTGTTTAAAACGTTTTCTGCCTTTCTTCTGGTGAGACAAGTAGCCGTACTTTATTAATAGGTGGCCACGCATCTGCAACCCTACGGGTGATGCAAATGTCCATTGGCGGCGGTTATTACTTAACAACAGGTGAACCGCCAGCTCGTTTGCACCTTACTCGCATGAAAAAATAATCTTAAAAGTGACGGATTTAATTTCCATTTATTGAGTTCAATCGGCTCACTCAAATAGTGTTTTTAACTTTATGACCAACCTTAATTAAACTGTTAAGCTTCTTTTTTATTTTTTAGCTTTTTGTTTTCGTTTACTTTATTTAAATTAATTAAAAATATAGCACGTTTAATAAATAACCATTATTATTTTATGGAATAGCTCCACCATAATGGGTTTTAAACTAAATAATAGATGCCGATAAAGGATTAGCTAAAATTAGTTGCGTATTAGATTTGTTTCTTTTTTCATTATATGTTAGTATATCGCTGTAAATGTATAAAGCAACATAATATGTATGAGTGGTTGCTGATTTTGTAACTGTAACTCTGAATGTCAGTAAAACTATTTGCTTCAGACATAATAATGCAGATATTGGGAATAATACTTTTAATTGTTTAATGATAACGCCATCTGTCAAACACAACGTGAATTAGTTCGTGGCATTGCTGCTTAGCCTATTACTTCTTGGTCAATATAAATAAGTTAATATTAAAAATGGTTGTAATATTTGATGGTAGAATTATCTCGTCATTATTTAATTCTCGTTTTATTTACCGCCATGCAGTATTCATAAATATGGTGGAGGTAAGCAATTAATTGTAGTATCACTAAATAGAAAAGAAGTTGAATATTCCGTTAGATGTCGCTAAAGAACATTCGTTCGAAATACGTTTCGTTCATTTCGTGTTTTGTATATTTTAATCAAAGATATTCGTGTGCTTTATAGCGCGGTTTTTTCAAGCACGCCTCACGAAAGGGTTTGAGCATCAAAGGTACAGAGAAAACATCGCTATTTAACTATCATGATTTTAATATTCGTTGTGGACTAAATCTTGGGCTTCTGTCTGAGGTACCAGTAATAATTGGTAGTTAGCTGGATATAGTTCAATGCTTCTAAAACATAATTATTGGCGCACAACTCAGGTAAGATGGCTTTTTAAAGGATTCTTCCTTTAGTTAACGCGCGCTTCTTAACTTTATGTAAAACATGTAATTAATAAACGGCATATTTTTGAAGTTTCGAAAGAGAAAACTTTTACCGTCAATTAAGGCTTAGCATAAAGACATGGAAACATGAAGTCTAGGCATTTGAAAGATAAATGTCCATAATAATAGAAAATTTATACCTACATAAAAATATAAAGGTAAGTTTTGGAAGAAATACAAAAGAAAAACGTATGTATACACCTACTTATGTACACACTTAAGAAGTTAGTACCTGGAGGACAACTTTTTTTTTGGTAAATCATGTATTTTGGACATTACATTTGGATACAAATTACTGAGTAATGAAATATGCATAATATTTTTCGATCTTACCGACGTAATAATAAGAAAATATGAACTGGTGTTTTCACAAAAGAAAGAACCAAAAAAAAAAGGGAAAACATGAACAAAATCATCTGGATCGACAAAAAATAAACAATAAAGAAAGCAATGATCTGGAATCGAAACAAAAGTTGAAAAATAAGTGTGTAAATGATCGTGACGCGAACCACGGCCGTCTGTTTTGGGGCCGATTACCGACCGAGCTATTATAACATTTTTTTTCAGCGAAATTTACCCTCATATTCGAATATTTTTCATACCCTGAAAACAGAGATAAAAGGACATTTTCTAGAAATGAAACCTAGCTAAATCGATTGTTCGCCCCCAAATCTACGCACATACTAAATTTCATGAAAATCGCCGGAGCCGTTTCCGGGATTCCGATTATATATATATATACAAGAATTGCTCGTTAAAGGACAAGATATATTAAAAAGTACCTTAAGTGTAAGGGGGTTACACATAATGCTTATTTAAATTAACATTTTAGTGTTTCGATTTAAGGAGGTTTGGACAATATTGACCCTCTATAAAAACGCTTTAAAAGAGCTCTACATATGTGGGTCATTTTCACTGATACATTCTGTACACAATTAATTAGTGGAGGCAATTTTAGATTTATAAATTATGTTTACTAGTTCGAGTATCAATGGCTTTATATGACTTATGCTTGTGAAGAAAATTTTAAATGCGGTAGGGCCACGTAGCATCCTCGGCTATTGCACGAATGGGCAGGCTCGTCCGGGTAAGTACCACGATCTCACAGAAGACGGGCGTAAAGTGGAAGTATAATACTTTCGCGTCTCGTCTGGTGAGTGTGGTAGCCGGAGCCCAATTTTCAAAAGGTCAACGCATCTGTAGCCCTCGGGTGTAGCAGATGTCCATGGGCGACGTTATTACCTTAAACTTTTCACATAAAAAAGGTACGTTTGTTAAACCACGAATTGAAATAATGAAATTCGACTCCGATTACTGCTTAATCAATGTTATGTATCAGTCACATTCCTCGTCGTGAAATATTTCGTAAGAAAATATTTCACAATGATTTCACGCATTCGAGCGGACTTTGAACATTTTATTTACAACACTGAGAATTTTATCGCCCGTGGTGACATTTTCAATCTCCCGACTCTTGGTTTTTTTTTATGTTAAGCTGCTAAACGAGCAGACGGTTCACCTGATGCTAAGTGAATACCGCCGCCCATGGGCATCTGCGACACCCGAGGGTTGCAGATGCGTTAACCTTTTGAAAATTGGGCTCCGGCTACCTCACTCACCAGACGAGACGCGAAAGTATTTTTCATATTTCCACTTGGTATGCTGTACTGATCAACCAATTACTATAGTCACTGACGACACCGCTTTTATGGACAGTGGCGGATTTGTGGTCTTGGCCGCCCTAGACCCCAGCCCATGTAGGAAGTTCCAGCCGCCCCTTTCCCAGAGCCCATCACACATCTTGTCATCGGTGATTCATTGTCACGATTGGCTGCCCTAATATGTGACCGCGCTAGGCCGGGGCCTATTGGGTCTTAGGGCAAATCGGCCACTGTTTATGGACTGCCATCATCTTAATGTTCGACTGGCGAGCAGCGCAGAAGTGCCTCTTTGAATATTTTATCCTCTACAGATATCCCACGGATATCAATTATCACATCCGTAAATTTTATGATTTAAATATAAATATTTATGTTAGCTGTCATCCTTACCTAGCTTTACAAGTACGTTGCGGTGATATTTTTTTTAACGTAGAGTGCAAAAACGAACATTCTCGTCATATTTTGCTTTATTATTACCGAATCGAAGTTGTACATTGTTGGGAATTGACGTTACACCCACCCTATAGCCCCAATCACGCGCCATCGGCTTACCATTTATTTCGATCCCTGGACAACTCCCTTCGTGGTAAAACTTTCATTGATGACGACGCTGTAACATCTCACTTAACCGAAAAGGATCAGATTATCAAGTTTTCGGAGAGACGGCAGAAGGTCGTCAAACTTAATGGAAATTACATTATAGATTAAACTGCATTCCAAGTTAAAAAAATGTTGTATTCCTTTAACAAATCCGCAATGACTCACAAGCCAACCCAATATTTACAATAGAAAACCATGTTTACAAGTTATTTAGTACATATAGTACAAGCGTTGCTCAGTTTGGGACTAGGGAAAGTTGTGTAAAAGTTTATGTGTAGTTTAGTTATTTGTTACTAGCTGTGGCCGCGACTTCGCGTGGAATTTAAAATGAACAAATTAAAATTTGTAAAATGAAAGCAGTCTAAGTTACTCATTACATCAGCTATCCGCAACTGAAAGTCCCGTCAAAATCGGCCCAGTCGTTTCAGAGATTAACCGGAACAAACAGACAGACAGACAAAAATTGTAATAGATGTCATTTTGGTAAATGTACCGTGTATACACCCACATGCATTCAGTAAAAGGCGGTTATTTTAATATTACCAACAGACACTCCAATTTTATTTATCTTTATAGATTATCATTTCTCTTTACGATTTTAAAATCTTCGATCACAATAATATGGTCGTTTTGTTTAACTGTGGTAGGGCCACGCAACAGCCTCTGGTGTTGCAGGAATGGGCAGGCGCGTCCGTGTAACCACGGCCTCACAGACCACTGGCGTGAAGTGGCTGGCTTTTGTGGTGGTGAAGATTTTCATAGACGGTATTCACTTAACATCAGGTGAACCGCCTGTTCCCTTGAAAACACACGATTGAAAACTTCTTTAGCTCCATCTATATGTATGTCTATATGAATAATACATGAATATATATATATAGTTATCCGTTCTAGGAGTTGTTTGATCCAGCGTTACGTATGATCAGTTTTTTGTTGATCCGCTCAAATTTGTTGATCCATACCCGATTTGTTGATCCAATACCATATGTATGTGATTTAGTGGCTCCATTCGGATCAACAACTTCTCGTCAATATGTTTTTGAAAGTAGCTACAATTTATACAAATCCACTCCGTACTTATTTGATCCAATTCAAACGGACGAATCACTGATCACAGCAGCATTCATTGGTTGAAATCATCACTTCACGTCAGTGCCTACTTATTAAGAAGAATTACTGTATCTCGTGAATGTGATATTTGTTTAAATACATGTTTTAAAGGGCCAGCAATATCTAGCGCTCGCGCGCTTTTCAGATCCACGTGCAACACAACATTACATTTTAATGTAAACATTATATTTTATTGTAAATTCGTTGCGCTCGTGATAGATTATTTAAGAATTAAC